CACCAAGTTAGATTGTTGCAGTAAACACAGTAATCATAGTCCGCTGCAAAGGAGAAACTACACACGATGCTATTTGAATAAAATGAAAAAGCTCTTATCTCAGTTTTGGTAATTAATATGGCATTATTCATTTACTAACATTACACTAACGCAAATCGAGTCCTTACTATGTTAATAGTAGAGAAATATATTTTTAAAAGTATGCATTATAAAGTATATATTTGTGGAAAGGATTACAGCGACTCCCAGCCTTACCAAGCAACTGCCACAGAAAAGATGATGAATCATGCAAAAGAACAGACTGTGTTTGTCTGTCTCTGTTACTTTGGAGAGTTGTCAGGGTTGAACAGGCTCTCTTCATCCTACACCACAAGCTGCTGGTTGTCGTCATGCTCCACAGTCCCAGATGTAGTAATTCACAGTGGGTACTAACTGACAAGGGGACTAAGCTCCACCAGGACTCACTGGGAGTAACAGCTGAGTGTGACAGAGAAGCCAGTGGGGCATACAGTGAACATAAGGGAAGCAGGATGGGAACCTTTGACGTTACGTGGATGGAACATGCTTTATCAAAAGCCCATTAAAACAAGTTGTGTTAGATCATTTCACAATAATTAAATGTTTAAGTTACCTTTTATTCTCTTAAGTCAAGATATTTACATTTTTTTGCTAAGAATAGCTAAGAATACCCACCTCAAAGTTCTATCTAGAACGTAATAGCTGTGAGTGGGCTTGTGGACGTTGTGGTTTGGGATACTTTATTTGGGTTGTCATGGCAACATGAGCCACATGAAAATGAAATCCAAGCCACAGGAATTAGTCTTTTGAAATGTATGTTTTTGGCAAGTTCAACCTGCTGTATTGGTGTCACATTTCGAGGTGATTGTTTCTCCACTCATTAAGCGACCCATGAACCATCGCCTCATTTTCATTGCTTGTCTCAGGGTAACACTGTGATATCACTTAAATTTATGACTTATTTCAAAGTGCTGAACAAGAAGATGCATCATTTAGCAGGATTTCACAATGGCTGTAAAACCATACAGAAGGCAATTAGCTAAAACAGAGTTGGGGGATAATTGTCTGTGATTTTAACTACGAGAGACCTTTGGCATTAAACAGACGTTTGATTCAGTGGTAAAATTAGAAATACTGATTGATGCAGGTTTAACTTTCCCAGTCAGAGATCACTAAAATGTTGGGTTTGGCTCTTACAGTAAGTTTTTCTGTGTAGCCTTTGAGGACAATTTTGTTCTAATTGTGGACTGAACCAGCTGCTTTGGCCAAAGTAAGCCAATATTTCGCCTCCTTTCCTTGTGGCTCCCAAGATGCTGTGATGGCAAGAGGTAGCTGTCGGAATCAATCACAGAATTTTGTAGCTTAATGTCCAATTAGTATTCCAAGGTCCTTTAAATAAGCAGTTTGTCAACACTGTAAAGCACTCTGCACTGTTGCGCTTGTCCTTGGCATATGGGCCAATCAAAATTTGATGAAGCATCCAATCAACACAGATCACAGGGAGCCAGCCAATGTGTGTGTCCATGTCACAGTGTGTATTAATTTGATTTATAATCCTTGGTGTGGGCATGGAGTGCGTCATGGAAAGCCATGAGGCCAAGAACACAATGAAACTCCTGGCCCTTGTCTTTATTAGCTTGGCTGCCTGCCTGCTCCAAGGAGAGAGAGACTGAGGAGGATCTGTATACTCATCCTCACATGGCGGCATAAAGAGGCAAGCAGTTAGGCAGGCAGACATGCTGGCAGGTAGCACACACACCGACCAAATTGAACAGATGCAAATTCTCCACTTGTTCTACACTCCCCTCTCTTAGTACACTAAGTAAGTAATCCCCTTTGCCATTATCCATCCTTTGTTAAGTAAAGTAATCACTGTGTTTACAGGTTCCCCCAATCCAAATAGAGTCCTACCAGCTTTTAAATACTGTTGTAACTAGTGTGCATGCAGATGGCATAAGGAATTTGAAAGTCTATTTTTATTTTTGTATGTAATTACCTAACTTAAGGACCAGTGAGTAGGATTTAGTGGCATCTAGCAGTAAAGTTGCAGATTGCAACCAAATAAATACAGTTTTTCAAAGCGTGTAGGAGGCCGTAGTCAGCGTTGGTTTGTCCGTTCTGGACTACTGTAGAAACATGGTGGTTCAACATTGTGGACCCGCTCCCTCGTCTCATTCTAGGGAAAAGAAAACACAACGATTGTTATTTTCAGGTGATTTTCATAGGTATGGTTTCATTATGTATAATCACCTAAAATAACAATGGTTGTGTTTGTTTCCCTAGAATGGAGACTCGAGGGGCGCGACCGGCCCGGTCCCGACAATGGTTGAACCACCCATGTTGTTCGGTAGCGCACGCTAGTCGCAGAACGGCACTAAACCAACGCTGTACTGACCGCCTCTACCAGCGGCTTTGAAGAAACTGGTATTTATGGTTGGGCTTGGCAATCTGCACGGGACTTTAGCTGCCTAGGGATGGCCACTAAAGTTCCCTACGTCGCTACTGGCTGCGTCCTTAAGTTGTTAGTACTCTACGATACAAAATAAAATATGACTTTCAAAATTCGCTGCGCTACTGGGCCAGTTCTGGCACTGCCGGCGCGCGCTCCGTAGTTACAACAGTTTATTTAAAAGCGGGCTGTGGTAGGGACCCTCTATGTGTGGACTTGCGCCAGGAACCTGTAAAACACAGTGATTACTTGTCACGTTAACAAAGGCTGTCCACTGGATAATGCAAAGGGGGATACGGGTCCCCTACTTGAGCTGCTACAGAGAGAGAGGGGCAGTGCTAGACACAAGGTGGAGGAAAGTTTGCATCCTCGTTCCAATCTTCGCGGCTGCCGGGTGTGTGTTGTTACCTCGCCAGCATGCGTCCTGCCTGGCCCTAACACTGGCTTGCCGGTGCTTGGCCTCTATCGCCCCGCCAGCCTGGGCGCGGCAGGCCAAACAGCACGAAACGCCGCACAAACGAAGAGCGGCTTCAAACAAGAGGAGCTCATCCTCAGCCCCCGTTTGCCTTTCGTGTGGGTGGGAGGATGACGTATGACAGATCCTCCGTCTTAGTCTCTACTCTCCGCTTGGAGCAGGCACGGCAGCCAAAGCTGATATAAAGCACCAAGGGGCCA